GGTGCCCTAATATTACACCTGCGGAACAAATTAGCAGTGCACCACCTTCCCACGACAGCCATAACCTGATGGGGATCAATGCGTAAATAAGCGTTTATTGTAATTATTGTACAGTTATCAAGGGGGTTATCGTTTTAATAGTTTTATTTTTTTATTGGTGCGGCCCTTTTCCAATCTTTTATGTTTCTTCATACTATGTATGTGTTGTCTGCGTGACTCTGAATGAATGGCTATTTTAATTTTAACTAATATTGTTGGTATGAAAGTATGTTTGTTGATTTGATTTTCTATTATGCAGCAACGATATATTAGATCAACGATGGGATAAGAAAATATAATACAAGTGTGTATAGACGGACATGACGAAATAATAATAAGGATTAAAACTATCAATTTTACAAAAAAAAAATATTACATAAACTGTAGGAAATTTTCTCTACTTTAATTTTGTATATAAATGTTTTTATCGTAAAATGAGTGGGAATAGGGATATTATCAAAAAACAGTAATTAGAGGCCATTTTTCCAATATGGCGAAGCGAGCGGCAAAGACGCGAGGTGGCATAATTGAAATTTGGAAAGAGCACATCGAAATCTATAAAATGACCAATTTTCGAAACTCCCGGAAAAATTTCCAGGTAATCTCTTTTTTGAGAACCAAGATTGTATGATACGAAAAAATCCATAAAGATTTATATAAAACTAGCATTTCCCGCGGCTCCGCCCGCGTTCATATGAACAAAAAACAAATTCTTAGGTTTTACACATGAACGAATTAACCACATTATATATTAGTACTCTTACATTGCAGTTTTTGTATTTTTTCTCAGAAATGAAACATTTTCTCGCGGTAAAAAGTATGCTATTTGTTTACCCGGATAACCAGCTATCAACGTACCAAATTTCATCAAAATCCCTCCAATGGTTTTTCTGTGATGCGGTAACAGACAGACAGACAGACAGACAAAAAATCTAAAAACTATACATTCGGCCTCTGTTTCGATAATAATGTTTATTTCAATAGGATTTTACAAAAAATATCTAATGTACAGATTCGGCTTAGTTACAATTTCATTATATGTATAGATAGTACTCGTATATTATAATATTATAGTTAATTTGTTACGAATGAATTTAATAGAAGCATGTTAAAAAGAAGTAACTAGGTGTACAATGAAATAGACGTTTCTTTAATCAATCATGGGAGAGACGGCTCTCCCGTGACCATAATTGCTGTAAAGCATCCGAAACATCGGGAAACGAAAATCGAAATAAATCCGTGAAAGAATCCGAAAAGATAGTCTTATTAGCAAAACCAGCGGCTTCGCTCGCGCTAAAACTACAAAAAAAAACTTTAAAAAAGGTAGGTTTCATACAAACTTTCATGCCCTTTTTTACCAACTTATGAGATGAACTTCGAAAAATGCTAAAACGTTTTTATTTATTTGTATTGAAAAGCACTAATACCAAGTTTCAAGTATTTCTGATCATAAATATTAATATTTTTGAATTGTAGTATAACGTGTTTTCCCGTGGGAATGAGATAATCTCCCGCAGTAAAAGTAGCCTATGGCACTCTTCAGCTCTCCAACTATCTCCACACAAAAAATCACGCCAAACCGTCATTCCGTTTCCACGTGAAAGAAGGACAAACAAACAAAGAAACAAACAAACAGACAAACAAACACACTGTCACATTTATAATATTAAGTATGGATATGGATTTAAAATGTCAAATATTCGCGTAAACCAATCAAATATAATTTATGTATTGTTTAGTGATGAAATATTCAAATTGTGAACCCAGCTGTCCTGACCCCAAAGTCATACATGATCGAGTCTATCGCCACCTGACGAACGATTAAATTTCACGCGCCATTGCATCGAAAACGGTACAGCACATGTTTTAGACAAGGTGCTCGGTATGATATGGTCAGCAGAATTTTGATACAACTTTTTTATGTAAATTAACTAATATAATAGCATAAAATAGGTATGTAGAGTAGGTAATTCATTTATAAGAAACTAGCATTTTCCTGCTGCTCCGCCCGAATAGTACGTTAATCACCAACATATATACTAAAACCTTCTCCGAAATACTCTGCATCTTATGGTATAAGTATTATTCCAAACGGTTCAGTATTTATCGCAGTATAATCGAACAAAAAAATTGGGTCTCCATTTATTAGTATAGAGTAGCGACTAGCCCTGGACTTGACCAGGTGTAAATGGAAACATCTAATATATAAAATTCTCGTGTCACAGTCTTTGTAACAAAACTCATACGAAACGGCTTGACCGATTCTTATGAAATTTTGTGCGTATATTCAGTAGGTCTGAGAATAGGACGTAAACTATTTTTCATACTCCTAAGTCATAAGGGTGGTCCACCGCAAAAAAATATATGATTCGGCATTAAAAATACATACAAACCTCAATATTCACTAGGGCCGACCCGAGCGGAGCGAGGGTGAGTCGCTAGTATTATATATAATAAAAATAATTTCGAACTATCTGTTACAAACTAGCGGTATAACAGGTATTTCGAAATTATTGACTTGACACCTATCGTAAGACGATGGTAAGTTCTATATCAAAAACCTTTACGAGTGTTATAACTTAGAAAAGTTTCATCACAATTAGACAAATGTACGGACGATAATATACGGACTCACAGACTTACATTTATTCACATATTATGTATAGATAAATACCAATAACTTGGTGCTAGTAGGTGCGTAGATTCGTTTACATAGCTTCAACGTGACGGAAAGCTAAAATTGCAGTTATAAAAAAAATACTGGCTCTTTCCTATGATATTTCTACTGGAAGTAAGAACGTCTAGCTTGCTTCTGTGGTTAGGTACAAAAGACTTTATATATATATACTACTATACTTTTATATTTTATTTTTATATATGTATAATATAGGTATAGTATATATGTATGTAGTTATAGTATTTAGGTATTGGTTAATTATATTTTACTTGTATTTATTTTGTATATATTATATATTTGTATGATACGTATATGTCAAAATATATACTCTTTCTACTGTCTCTTTATTTATTATTCGCGCCTCTTCTATCTTAGTACTATTTCCTACACCTAAAGGTTGCCTGGAAGAAATCGCTCTTTTAGCGATAAACCCGCCTCTTGTACTTTCTTCTATATTTTTTATATTTTCTTTTCTCTTTTTGGGTGTACAATAAAGAGTCATTCATTCATTCATTCATACTAAATACTAGGTAATATAAAGATACTAATTCATATTCATTCAGTCAAATATGTATAAGAGTGATAAAAATATGTTTTAGGTATACTAGATATATGTACAACCAATCCGCACTTGACCAGTGCGGTGTACTATGACCTAATCCCCCTCGTATTGAAGGGAGGCCCACGCCCAGCAGTGGGACGTTAAAAAGGGATGAATACATGTACTTGGTATATTACATACCTACGAATGACCAAAAGCGTTCAAAATGTCGCGCTCGCTGTACCTACTTATTTACTTAAACACCATAAAATATGCTAATTTCCTATAGATTATTAAAGATTGCTTTCAACGTTGCCATTAATTAATTTTTGACCGACTTTTAAGAGGAGGAGGTACTGAATTCGACTTTGTGTTTTTTTTGTAGCGCTTGAGACGCAATATCTTGTAATAAATTTTTACTTTAATGTGGAGAAAAAGTTCTACTTCTAAAGACGGAAAAATAATTAGTTGGAAAATTAAGTTGAAAATTGAAATACATTATAGAATATTTAATATATCACTTTCCGGCCCAAAAACTATTTTTGTTCTAATGTCACTTATATATTATTAGCATTGCCCGCGGCTGCGCCGGCGTTCTGATGGCCAAAAACCACATTCTTAGATTTTACATATTACATAGTATACTCTTACATTGCAGTTTTTGTATTTTTTCGCAGAAATGAGATTTTTTCCCGCGGTAAAAAGTATTCTATATCTTGACCCGGATAATCAGCTATCACCATACCAAATTTCATCAAAATCCCTTCTGTGGTTTTTCTATGGTGCGGTAACAGACAGACAGACAAAACTCGCCTCTGTATCTATAATAATGTTTATTTCAATAAGATTTTTCAAAAAATATTTAATGTACAGATTCGGCTTAGTTACAATTTATTATATGTAGGTAGGTTTATATTTTATTATATAAACAGACGTACAGTAGAAAAATATGCATTTCGTATCTTATAATATTAAATAAGAAATTGTATATACATATACATTTATTTCGTATACCCTCGGAAACGGCTTTAACGATTTACAGCAAATTTTGTATTAAGATAAGTTTTTGCTTTTACCTATAAGTTTATCTATATTTTTATATCTTTTCCGAAAAAAACGCCCAAATATATTTAAGTAATTAGGGACATAACCTTCTAATAAAGCGTTCTTTTCAAGTGAAAACGCTACGAAGTCCAATTTTTCAATGTCTTCTACCTGAAGGCTGAATAAGAATGCTATTAGATTTAATATCCAGTACATAACAAAGGGTGAAACAACCCCATTGGTCAATATTTTCCCCCAAACCACCAATGTTTTTCGTGAAAACCGTTAAAAGACAAATATATCTGTCTCGCTATAACCTATAGAGCGTCACGCTTGCTGGCTCCCTCACGCAAGGGTAGGCCAGGGAGTCCGCGTCAGTGCCCTCCAAGTGTATTATATTGGCGGACGTTTTGTTTTTAAAGATTATTTTGTCATAACAATAAAAAAAATTGGAAAGTCTTTAAAAAAAATTTTTTTTAAATAAAAAGAAATTGCGATAAAAAAAATTAGAGATATTTTAAAACTGAAGTGATGTGAAATTGTAGTGAAAAATAGAGTTAGTGAGTTTGAAAAAAACTAATTAAAGTAACTGAAAACTAAATAATTGTAATTATGTGTTCGAATTCCGCCTTGGATGTTACGTAGATGACGTAAAAAATGCATTTTGACTGAAAAAGTAAAATGGAATTTTCGTGGCAAATGGAAGACGCTGTGAGCCAAGACACTAACGGACGGACAAACAGAAACCAGGGGAGGAATCAAGGTATATTTTGTTCAATATAAATATATATAAATAAAAAAATTAAATTATTTATTGCCATAAAATAAAAAAAATATTTTTTTTAATAACTCTAATTCTCATTTATTTGGTAAAGCAAGGTTTTCGTGTCTTGAATTTCTCAGATTTAGCTAGCACATTGTAAGAAGCTAGTAAATTGTAGGAACTAGAATTCTTTTTAATTAAGATATCTGTACTCTTAAATGTAATTTTTAGATAAAAATGTAAAATCTCAAGTTTCTATGTGTTAATATCTATTTTTGACTAAGTTTTAAGGTTTATTTTTTTATTAGCCTTCCGGTTAATTCTAAGAAAAATAAAATGAGGAATCAAAGTTCGAGGTGAAAAGCATTTTTCAGACAGACTTTTTGCATTTATCAAGTTACTTTAGATTGTTATATATTATTTCGTATGTACATGCCGTGCATTTTACCACGATCGCGACCTTATGTATGCTACAAAATCTGCGACCATATTAATAATTGGTCGCTGAGACCATGGTCTCGGTCTTAGTGCATGGTGGTTCTTATTGTTAACACTTTTATATATGTTTGTTCGTTTGTTTGTTTTTTGGTATATAAAAATATTAAACACTGATTCGACAGACGCCCTGTCTCAATTTTAATAAATTTATGTATGATTTTTTATTTATTATAATTATTGCATTGAGAAAGCTTTCCAAATAATTTTGCTTGAAAACCTTGCTCGGAATATTACGAACATTTAAAAAAAACAATTAGCCAAATCGGTTCCTTCTAAACTGTCTGGCTTACTAACAAACAGCGCATATTTTATTCTATTATATACTAGCGACGTACACGGGTTTTGTTCACAATTTCATTGGCTTTGCTTGGAACGATAATTCTTTGTTAAATAAAACTAGCCTAATTTACTCCTTATAACATCAGCTATAAGGTCTGGGTTTTAACGGTACTATGCCATACTATATGCCATTGAAAGTCCCGGTAAACCTGGTCAGCCATTTAGGAGATTAGCCAGAACAAACAGACAGACAAAAAAATAAAAATAGTTTTTCTTATATGTACGTAACGTATACAGAACACTGCCATATGTATTTGGTAAAAAGCTGTTATTTTTTCATTACAAACAAACATTATTTTTATGTATAGATAATAGATATAATATTATATAGATAAGTATATTAAGTTACGATATTTGATATCAATCAAACGAGTCGAGTGCCTTGCGACAAATGGAGCGGCAAAATACGGTTTACAGGCCTAATTAAATCAAGTACATATATGACCTGCTATTTTATAAGCCTAAATACAGTCCGCCATCCCGCACTTGGCCAGCGTGGTGGACTATGGCCTGATCCCCCTCGTATTAAAGGGAGGCCCAACCCCAGCAGTGGGACGTTAAAAAGGGCTGAATATATTTTATAAACCTACGAGTTAGTTTATTTTGGGAAGATTCGAATTTCTATTCACGTTTGCAAATCACGCTGCTGTTATAAGTGCAAAAGAATAAAGATTGTATGTGTGGATGTGTACTACTTTAACTTCGCGTTTGCTCTAGATTACTGTTTTTTTTTTACTAAGCCAACGCCACCTATTGGCAAATTTTATAGCTAACAGTATCCTTTGTGTTAGTCCAGGTCAAAGTCTGTGTAGTAAATTTTATCACATCAAAATATATTACACTAGCGACTCACCCCCGCTTCGCTCAGCTTCGTCCCTAGGTACGTTTTGACGCTTAGTATGGAATATATATATATATATTTTTATATTTTTTTCGTGAAATTTTCCGATATTTTAATAGTTATTCTGCTGTTCGGGGTGAAGGCAAATCTAACAAAACAATAATCATAAAAATCGGCCCAGCAGTTCTCGAGTTATAACTTATAAGTATTGTAAGAAACCCTTTATTTTATAACAAAACTTTGTTTGTCATATAATATATAGATATACATATATTCAAATAGACTTTTACGAGTACTTTTAAATCGTCACTTTTTACATTATCAAAATTTAAATTAAATGTTAGTATATTATAATATATTATGTAATATGTAGTCCGTGGGGATTCTACCGCCGCGGCCGGTTCGGAAGGCTCTGCTGAGAAAAGCCGGCGAGAAACTCAACAGTTGCTCTTTTAAAATAATATTTGTTTACAATCTTGCAATACAATTATTACAACACTCTACCAATAAAAAGTGAAACAATGCAACTGGCATATCTATAGATTAATCGGTTACCTTTGAAGGTTCCTAACTATATCGTTATATTAGCCAAAAGGGCATTTGTCATATATATTTTTTTCAAAAAACTTCATTTTAATGTATTTCGAACTCTATACGCGATGTTTTTTTTTTAATTTCTAATTCAAACCTAGGAACCTCCTACGAGTATATCCATCCAAATCCGTCCAACAATTTTAGCGTGAAAAACTTACAAACACACATACAAACTTTCGCATTTATTAAATGTTATAAGTACGATTATATTTTTTTTCTTTTGTTTTAATATAAATACTAAAATTATAGTTAATCATACGGTACAGACATTCCAATTTGCGTCACAGATGATAAAAGTATCTGTGACAATAGCAATAAAGTTATCTATGGTTTCAGATTTCAGATTTCGAACGTATAAATGCGTATAATGAAATAATCCAAACGTACGACGTTAGGAAATGTAATAAATTGATTTTATTTAGAAATGATATCTAATATATATATATATACAAGTATTGCTCGTCTAAATATATATATGATGGATGATAAGATATGGTCTTTTACAATTTTAAATTTTGGCTAAAGTGACATCTAACAATGGATAATACTTATTTTTCCATAATAAAAGTAAATATTATTATAGTAAAAAATTCCATACGATCGATAAATATGGTCAAATGCACGTTAAGCATTGCAATTATCATTGTTGTAAGCAAGTATTACTCGCATTTCTATTGAATTAGCATCAATATAATCTTTCAGATGACTCTCCACTGGATGTGCTATTATTAAAATTGTAGAGTTTAAAAAAAATGTTTTTACTATAGTGGGAATTTGTACCTATTTATCTTTTATTTTGACGACACGTTTGGCTCAGTTTGTAGTAATCCTATTTGCTGTGCCAGTGGTCGCGGGTTCGAGTCTCGCTGGGGGCATCATTTGTGTGATGAGCACGAATATTTTTACTCCAGTCATGGGTGTTTATATTTATAATATGTATGTATTTAAAGTTATATATTATGTGTAGTGTATCCACTATCTGGGATCCATAACACAAGCCTCGTAGCTTACCGTGGAACTAGATGGTGCTGTGTAGTGTGTAGTAATGTCCCAACATATTTATGATTAATAAATTCATTACTAGCGGCTCACCCTCGCTTCGCTCGGGTTCGTCCATAGATACGATAAATAGATATAAATAGTTATCATCCAGCGTTAACCATGTAAATGAAAATGAAATGAAATATTCTTTATTGCACACCATTATTTTACATTATATAGTACAAACAGATTAAAGAGAAATAGTACAATAGGTGGCCTTATCGTTAGAGAGCGATCTATTCTAGACAACCTTTGGGTAGAGAGAAGGAAGGGGTGCAAACAATCTTAAAGAGAGATACAATGAATACATACATACATATATAAATGTTATGTTTTTTGTCGATAGTTTTTCCGATGTTTTAATACTTATTATCCTATTCCGGACTAAGAGAGATCTATATCGAATAATATTAGAATTCGATACTAACCGAACGAAGCGAGAGTGAGTCGCTAGTATGTAGATAAATATTAACCTGTAAAAAAAGAATAAATTAAATACACGCGTGTGTCTACCTTATTTTACATGTCAACAAATCACGCGGTTGACTGCGCAAACGTATTATACACCCCATTTATATCTCCCCACATCGCTAATCGTAATCGTGCTCGTGTGAAACTGGTCTTAGCTATTGAAGCGTGAAAACGCATCTGCACCCAAAAATGTAACGAAAATATTCAGATTTTTTAAATAGACTAACTATTTATGGCCCAGGTTTTTGTAGGGGCCATGTAGATTTGCTAAATTGCTAGAAGGTATTTTGGGTTCGATTTTCAGTTATGCCATTATTATATCAGTTTCTATCTATACTAATATTATAAAGAGGAAAGGTTTGATTGTTTGTTTGTAAAGAATAGGCTCCGAAACTACTAAACCGATTCAGGGTGAAATTTGGTAAGGACATAGGATAGTTTTTATCCCGGAAATTATCCCTAAGGAGGTAAAAATGGGGATGAAAGTTTGTATGGGGAATCAACCTAGGGACAAACTCGAGCGAAACGAGGGTGAGCCCCTAGTAGTAAATACTTTAATAGTAACTATTTTTCTAGGATGTGCCAGATTGGTAAAAAAAGATCTTTAAGACTTTATTTTTTGGAATTTATATAGTGGCTTCACATGTTTGTTTAATACTAATTAGTCCACGACTTATAAAGATGGCCAGTCATGCTTTACGTAGGAAGGAGTATTTAAAGTCTATATTTTCAAATTTTCTTGAGCTATTTATTTTATTGTAACTTAGGCGTGTTCTTAATGTTGACTTTTATATCTATATAGTAAAACGTCCCTAAATACCATCAGGTCGTCTGTCAGACAAACTAAAATTTTTAAAACTGGTTGCCAGTATTGGTCATTTGTTACAGTTCTGTTATGCAGTTGATAAATACTTATCGAATTGTATAAAAAGGATATATATATACATGTTATTAGTTTCATGTTAATATTTTCTTAAAAAAGATTATTGATATAATAGATATTTTACGCAAGTACTAGGAAAGAAAATTATTATAATTATTAGAATATCGTCACCTTAGTGCTTATTTGTTCGAACCACCAATACTTGTTGTACTTTACAGTAGAGTTTTTTTTCTTCCACTTTAAAAACAAAGTTTATTTCTAAGATTTATGTACATGATAGAAATATGTGTATATTATACATTGATATACAAAAACTAAAGATATACAGAACAA